TCCTCCTCCTCCTCCTCCTCCTTCTCCTTCTCCTTCTCCTTCTCCTTCTCTTCCTCCTTCCTCCCTTTCTCCCCCTTTTCCTTTCTTCTTCCTTCTTCCAATGTTTTACCTCTGATCCTTGTGGGGGTCAAACTAACACATCCTTACAAAACTTTATTTAGCCAGGATATCAAACATTGCTGTTTGTTGGAACAGGAGCCGGCGAACCAGGATGCTGGGTAGCCATGATTTCATAAACCAATCCCATCTTTTAAAGAGAGCGAGTTTGCAAGCCTGGCTGGCTTTGTGTCTTTGGCAAATTTGGGCAAGCTGAGAGGGGATAAAAACCTCCTGGTGCAGAGGCAGTCTACCTTGCTTGCCACCCCCAGCCCAGCTTCTGCCTCTGATCTCTTCTTCCACCCACGTCTTAATTCCTGCCTTTCCTGTTCCTTCCCATCGAGAAAATCAGTACACGGAAAGCTAGCAGAAATATGGAATTTTTATTTTTATTTTATTTTTTGCTCTTATTTCATCCATGATACAGAAAAAAAGGAAAAATGAGGTGACAAACGACGGAGGCAGGGGGTTGGGAAAGCCGTTTTACCTGCCAGGTGGGGCGGGGCAGGACCGAATGGGGGATGATGGTTGCAAGTTTGCAATTTAAGATGGATCTCCCAATTCTTGGTTGTTCAGCGTGTTGGCTTTGAAATTGGTTGGATTTGCAGCTGGGCCACATCTGCAGAAACTTTTCTGGATTGTCTTGAGGAGTCCCATTGCCCTCAGCCCCTACAGTAACCAGCCTGATGGGTTCGGAATAACAAAACGGGAAGGGATCTCGGAGGCTATCTAGTCCAACCCCCTGCTCAAGCAGGAAACCAAAAGAGAATCCAGAAATAACTAGATTGACACCAAGGATAGGGGTAGGCTGGGCCCAAACATATGCCTGGGTTTCAGAGAAAGGCGATTGCATTACGGGGTGGACTAGATGATCTTTGTGGGACCCTCCGACATTCCAATTCTGCAATTCTGAATGTCTCCAACTGCTGTGTAAAGTTACCCCACTTCCCAAGAGGCAGTATAAACCCAAATTTCTGTTTTTAAGATGCTCCTATGGATGTGATTTTTCCCCCCCCCCCCCTATTCTCTTTCGTGTCAAAATTCTGGGCTTTTAAATCCACCCAGCCCCATTTTGGATCCATAACTTTTTCTGCAACTACCGGTACTTTTAGTTTCACAGAAAGAGGGTGAAAATAGATTTTTTAAGAACGCGAAACGAACAAAGAAAACAACTAGCGAAATCTGAGTTTTAAATTCAATTTATCACATTCCGGTTTTGGCAGCGATATATAAAATTTTATGTGCAACTTTTATATATATATACTTTATATATATTTAACAGAATGTTGAAGACATTTTCGAGGTACACATTTGAAAATGAGAGGTTTGGGGCTTTTTCAAAGCAAAATTCTCAGCCTCTAATTTAAACCAAAAAAACAAAACAACAAAACAAAACAGAAGTACAGAATTGGAGCCTTAAAACAGTCCCAGGATGAAACACTGCCAACATCAGAGCTGAAAATTAAAAATATTCTGGATCAGGAGAATCTTTTGTGATTTTTTTTTTCAGAGCTCAGTTAAAAAAACAACAACAAAGCTTTAAACTGTAAGAAGATTCTAAAGTTTGGCGTCGGGAGCTCTGAAAATTAAAATTTGAGAAGTCTTTAATTTTTTTCTTTTTCTTTAAAACCCTGAAATTTCTATCTTCTGGCTCCAGGGTTGAAATATTTCTCGGTATCAAGACAAGAAGAAGAACCTAGGTTAGGCAAATCGAGTGGATCAAATGAGGTCCCTCCCCCCCCAAATAATTAACACTGCATGAAATAACACATTTGAGATCGCCCAGCGCTTCCTTCTGGGCAATGGGTCCACGGTCGTCTTTTGAACTCGGCTCAGCCTCTTCACTTCTTCCCTTTCGGCATGCGGCATCCCTTGGCAGCGTCTCCCATTATGTCCCAGTATTCTCCAAACTGGAGTTTGGCTTCTTCGTTATCTCCCAGGCATTCGATCTTCTCATCCAGAGGCTCAACTCCCTGTTAGGGTGAGGGGGAGAAAAACAAAAGCAGAAAAAATTAAAAAGGAAGAATGAACAGATCTTAGGCCTGCTGTTGTTGTTGTTTTTAAAAAACCTCCCCAGTTTTGAGATTTTTGTTAAATGATCAGATTGGGGGTGATGCTTTTTTTATATATATGCATGCTTTGTATGGACTTAATCCCTTGCTTAAATTTTATTTTACAGTCCGTTTGCTGCATTGTGGAGCTGAATAGATTAAATGATAAGATTCTTAATAGCAACTATTTTCAGTAGGTTGTTTATAGCCAGTTATTAATTAGTGCACGTTTTTGCAAGCAATATATATTTTTGATCTGCAGCTTTGGTCATCTTTGTTATTTTTTTTTGCACACTTCTCTGTTCTTTAATGGATATTTTCTTGTGCATATTTTGAGCGGTAAAATCTGGAAAGTAGTCCCTTGTCAAACTGAGGTTCGGTCTCTGCCTTATTTTAAAGTCCTGAAATAAAACCTTATCTATAATAATTATTATGAGTTGACATTAACTTGACAGCACTTAATCCATTTGAAAATGTAGTTTAAACTCAACTCTAAACTCTAACCTCTAACCTCTAAACGGTAAATTCTAACCTCTAACCTCTAAACACTAAACACTAAACACTAAAACCCTAAAACCCTAAACCCTAAACTAAACTAAACTAAACTAAAGTAAAGTAAATCATTCCAGAATATAAAGAAGTTTCCAAATAAATTGCCTGCCTTCATGCAGAAACCGTGTACATTTGCATTAAAATGCAAACTAGACTTTATTCTTTGGAAATGCAACCGGGATTTTTGCATTGAAACACAATCTGGGGGTTTGCCCCAGCAGGAAAACAACAACAACAACCAATTTCTTTTCCTTTAGAAAAGGAGATTTTTGCAACCTAAAGAGAACGCACGTCGGGGCCTTTTCGGCGGTGGCCCCAAACGCAGGAATTTCTGACCAACGGAATTCAGAGAAAGACTTCCGAGCAGGATTTCAACCAGCCGAACGGCTTCTTGGGGGATTTATCGGTGCCCCGATTCCCCCCTTCGACACCGGGCGTCCCAGTGATGTTGATCTCACCTTGGCTAAGTGTGGTAGCCTCTGTCCAACCAGGTCTTTCAACTCGTTGGGCGTCAAACATTCTTTGTGTCCCTTGACGGCGTAACAGTGGAAGTTGTTGATGACAATTTCGATGGCCCGCTCCACATCGGTGAGTTCTTGGCAATCCTGCAAAGCAGGCGAGGAGACAGGTGGGAAGAGAGGGAACAGGTAAGATCCATCCCGGCCACGTCATCGCCGTGTACAATCTCTTCCAAAGTTGTCCAACCTGCCAAGCTCCTTCCTACACAACTGCACCCTCCCCGAAACACTCAGCTCATTAAGGCATCCAAAGTTTTTACGCCAAAGTCTGGGACACGGTTTCGCAAAAGGGAAGAGATGTCACTCGTTAGCCTAAGAAAGCCCCAGAGGATCCTGACAATTTCAACAAAATAGGAGGTGGAAAAAGATCCAGAAAAAGAACAAAATGCACAGTGCAGAACAGGTAGAAAAAGGGAGCAGAACAATAGGGGTGTGTGTGTGTGTGTGTGTGTGGAAATCCAATTTTCTTTGGTGGAGGAACAGGAATAAAACGCATTGGTTTCTTACTCTCAAATCAACATTAAAGCAGAATATTTTTGTTGCAATATCAGGTTTTCGACTGAGACCCAAGCAAAGCACATCAACTTGAGATGATGCTACCTGGGCAGGTAACTCATTCAGACGATGTCTCCTTTGGATGTTTTGCAAGGAAAAGTATCAAGCTGGGAGAGGATTTGGAGCCAAAAAAGAATTCCTAAATATTTTTGAGTCTTTCGAAACTTGGGAGGATTGATGGAATTTTTTTGCGTGCCTTCTCCCAAAGGAGAGATATTTCATCTGAATCCCTCACCTGAAACCATTTTTTAAAAAATTACTTTGGCTTAATACCAGCCAGGATGCCTCTCAATGTTGGCTTAACACAAGCCAGGATGCCTCTCGAGAAAGAAACCATTGTAACAGGATGAAAGGTAAATCGTTGTCAAAGCCCAAGATCAAGACGATTTACATCTCATTTACATCCACTTGTTTCTGGTAGCATTTGCTGCACACCTGGTGTGCAAATTTCATTTTTTTTTTTTTTAAAAAA